CTTTCAAATCTTAATAACCTGGACCCTTGTTTAGTAGCAACAGGAGTTTCCACTATGATGCTCCACCATTTAGCTTAGCTATTGCACATTCTTCCTCGTCCTCCTCGGTACTCATGTTCATCATTAAGGACATGTTTCTCCATCTCTTTGCTTTGTACTTTAAGTTCATGCACCAAAAGAGAGCTCTGAAGTTCACCTAAGTTCATGGGCTGGTTAATAAAATGATTAATGTGTTTTTTTAATATACTGTGTGTATGTACACATGATGTTCACCTATTTTGCCTGTTACACATGCATAACGACATTACATGGACATGAACCTACCAAAACGACATAGCAATTGTGATATATGAACATATGCTGCGTAGATCGTACACATCATATGTATTGTTTTACTCAACGTTTTTTTGCTTTCCTAAGGAATGTATGAGGATCATGGGGGAAAAGATTGCGGAGTTGTGCTCTCGAAGAGTAGAGGCAGACTTACTGCTGGAAGCGTTTGTTGAACAATTCCCGGATGATACAGATTTTGACAGCTTCAAAAGAAAATTAGCAGCGTTGTTTAAAGGGAGCAAATGGGATACAAGGACCACCGTGGGTACGGATGATGCAGCCCCAACGATGTGCCAAGTCCCTAACCGGGTAGTTGTTGAGGTAACTCCTACGAAGCTGGCCATAATACCGGATCCAGACTTGTTGTCGCCGCTGTCGCAATTCTGGACTAGTCCAACGGTTATTGCGGAGGTGGATAGGGCATCSAACGAGAAAACGATGCATCTGTCAAATGAAAACAGGAGATATGCGTGGTTTGTTCAGAAGGAAACAGTTGGGATTCATACAATACAGCCGCAGGTGCAGCAAGTTGGTAGCGTACGGAGTAGGAATAGTGATCAGACTGAGAATAAGACAAGTAAGATTTGTAAACGAGCGAGAAGCAGCGACAAAGCAATTGCTTTGGGTGGAGGAATCGAGCCACCGACATTTGATTTGGGATAAGTCCATCAGGGAAACAGGTAGTTGATGTTGTGGATACGGTGAATACACTAGCAATGAAGGAGTGTCCGAGGCTAACCTTGTCGAAGAGGGATCCGAAGTTGAGCTTCAAGCTACGGTCACCTTATATCACATGTGATGTTTCATTCGACGTAACAAATGACGAGCGTAGGCTACAAGATTGGATCTTGAGGGGTATTGGAGGGTTACTGTAAGTTGTACCTTACATTTTCATAGTTCATGCATTTTACTTATATGTCTAAATATATGAGTTTGTATAATGTTTACCTGTTAATACCCAGAGAACCTGTTTTCGTATCCCCGTGTGGAAGAAGACTAACACGACAGGCGTTGCTATCTCTTGCATCCCAATCCATGGTTTGTCGAGATGTGTTAGACGGGTGGTCAGCAGTGCTAAACCGAGATGAAAGATTGCGGAGCAATGACTCTCCGCGACGCTATTTCTGTCACATCAATGTTTCGGTAAAATAAATAAAAAAGCAACTGTTTTCGAAACATGCATTATATACAAATCAAGTAATGGTTTTGTTTTGTATGCAGATGGATGGTATGATGAGGAACCTTTCTCTGGATGTGCACGAAAGATACGAGATTTTCAAAMAAAACCTATCAAGTTTCGCAAACAATGATAAGGAGACCATTAGTATGCGCAGCGTTGACATGGTACGTATATAACATGCGTTTCTAATATTAGCGTACAATAATTAAAAATATATTGTAGTGGTCGACTGTATCTTACGTATTTATAATTACAGGTATTCTTCTCGATCGTAGAGGAAGCATTCTACTACTACATTGTTGTCTTCGACTTGAAACGGCCCTCAATCGCTATCATTGACTCCAAGGATCGGGATGGCAAACTTGAAGATATATATGGAGCTATTACGGTCGTATTGGTAAGTATACATTGTTAGTACTAATATTATACATGCCTCATGATTCCTTAATTATTTTGTCATCCTGATAATTTATTCAGCAAGATATGATGATACTTCATCTTCTGAGAGAGGGCCACGATGCCGGAAAAGTTTATGCTGAGATGGATCAGGAGCAAATCAGGACTCGGTGGCAGTCACATGAGAGTTTGATTGATTGTGGGGTAATGATGATGCGACATCTGGAGACGTATTTTGGTGCCGATGGAGGGAAGTGGGATTGTGGCCTTTACAAAGAGAGTACAAAGCAGAAAAGGCAGCTTAAGGATCTCCGGACTAAATACTGCGCGAAAATCCTTCTGAGTGAAGAGAACATCCGTAAGGCTTCCATCATCAATGACGTCGAGCGCTTCATTTCAATGGAAACATCGTACAATGCTAAGAAGACACGTGGAAATATACGAATTGGTCGAGGGAAGGTGTAGATGGCACTTGTATTCGGTCTTGCCACATGGATATCTCAATTTTTTGTTTAATGCTTTAGTATCTTCTATGCGTATAATATGGATATTGTTCATGAACATGATATAACCTGCTGGTTTTTTTTTAAAGTGAATATGATTAATTAATATTTTATATGCGTATAAAATGGATTAGCAGTAGTAACCATACTACTAATGTAGTATTTGTCTAAATGTGCACATGTGCATAATCTATATGTCATGACCACATGCCAATATTGTTTCATTTTATAGATAAGCAGCCATGTTTGATTTTGAATGAACCAGATGTTTGGTCCTTCATCCGGAGGTAAGTGTGTTGATGAAACCAAATCTTATCTGTTCGTGAACGCATATACATGACACTTGATCTTACTAAACACGTTCAAATGAACAACGACATGTGTGCACATGCCAATGTTGTTTGAGTTTACTCCTTAATATCCATGATCGGTGTTTAAAGAACCAGTTGTACGGTCCTTGATCCGGAGTTGAATGGGTTATAGTAACCATATTATATCATTACGTTTTCACATGCTGTCTATCATGTACTACTTATATTCTTCCCACGAATATGCTTTTTGTATATATTGATATACTGACACCAACATATTCACACAACTTGTGGCAGTTTTAACTGATCACTATTTACGTGGACCGTACTGTGCCAATCAACATGGACGCGCGTTGAACTCATAGGGAAGCGTGGGAGTGCAACTGGGATGTGTGACTTTGCATGTCATTTAACATGTGGATGGACGTGTTGATACTATCTAGCGTAACCTGAACTTGTATCATCGTGTCAGGTTCGTTCTGAACTTTATTTTTTGTATACAACCCTTTAAATATATATGCATTTTTATCTCGTAACATCGGTATATCAAAATCACGCATTTTGATTACTTTGCATCATGATTTGACTTACAATGTGATGAGATGTATAATGACCATTCTGAGAAGAATATGAATGCTACATAGATATTGATATATGCATGAAATATCAAACATGCTATATGCATCATGCAAACCAATAGCCTTCTAATGTACACTGTGTTTTTGTAGTATGCTGTTTTTATGTTGTCTACGTAAAATGATCGTTCTAGTAAGATTCAATTTTTGCATTGACAAACATGTTATATATTTGTGTAATATCATGAATTGCATCTAGGTTTCATATACTGTCTCTGTGGGCGCGCTACATGTTAGAGACATAATGAACACATACCTTTTAATGAATTCGTAGTTCAATGTAGTAAACATATTCATTTAAACGGGGATACTACCCTCCCCGAAAAGTTGGTGAAACCGTATAAGATATATAAAAAACACAATACAAAATGTACATAACGTATCAATAACACTAATGGCACTAACAAATAGCATCAACTACTGATTCAAGCAAAACACTGAGATCAAGTTCAAGTTGTTTAACAAATAAAACCACATAAACAATATGTTTCGATGACGCCGACCTATTAGAACGAAACGATAAGAATTCTAAATACTTGCAATCTAACTAATCTATCAATTCTGGGCAATTACGTGAGTCATGACCACTACGTTGTCCACACGTTGCACACTTTCATTTAGTCTTTTTGCAATTAGTTTGCACTTTCTCAGATACACTTACAAGCCTCTTGCCAGTTCCACAACCTTTGTTCCTTATTCCAGATGGTGGTAGAATGTCCACCTCATCAGGTATGGAAACACCTAGATGATCTCTTATCGCATCCAACTTTTGTTGGGATGGGTCTTCGTATGGAACTTCCTTCTCTATATCAACCAWGAATTTRTCGAGGTTACGCCCCAATCTATCTAATATAGMTTGATCATTGCKKKCGATGCTTATTATGTCGTCGATCTTGGAATATACATCAATTATAGACTTTTCTTTCTCGGCGTTGACCTCCCCATAACGAACTCTTGCGGACTGTATCTGTACTGGAACTAACTCCCGTTTCCATCAACGTAGTACGTATTTTACCGGAATGCATTCAACTTCATCATTTATTAGTACCTTGAACGCGTGATGACAGAGATACCCATTACGTGTAAATAGGTTACAATCGCATTCGACTGTGTTTGTTGAATAATTACGGCCCACCTGTCATGAAAGAAGTTTCCAACAACATCAGTCAAGAAAAAAATAAAGTATCATATATCCATTGTGTTGAGAGTTAGGGATAGGATACCAAATATGTGATGTTATCAGCTGATTTCTTGGCCTTGTGGCTTATCACGAACGACTTGAAATCATCCCGGCATTCGACGGTCTCAATAGCACAAAACCAAACAGCCTTCTTTATTTCCTTTTGGATGTCAAAAAACATGTTCCGACTATATATGCTTGATGCATGACTTTCTAAACGCAATAGAGTAACAAACTTGGGATTAGTCGTCCTCGTCACTGTTTCGTGAACAGATTGTCTGTATCTTTGTATCTCTATAGCTACGTCGTAATTATTAAGGAATTGCACCAAATCAAACCAGTATGATTCGTATATGTTGATATACGAATTCGAACTCTCAGATCTTGAGGTTGTTTTCATTAGCCCAGACATCGGCGTGTCCTTGTAATAGGCAGGAATCCACGAGTGTCGGATTTCATACATCTCTGTAAACCAAGTATCCCCAGCTAGATTGTATTTATCTATCATCTCATTCCAACGGTTCTCGAACTCCGATGGGCCAATATGAATGTTCCATACGAGCTTGTTGATGACTTTATTGAACGTAGGATCATGATTTAGGGCGACACTAACCTGCATCAACGAAGCTTCGACAGATGAAAGAATAACACAAAAACGCATTAAATTATATAACATTCATTATATACTACTTACCTTTGAAGGGACCTTCTTCATAATGTGCCACATACATAGTCGATGCTTGGATTCCGTGAACACCTTCGGAATAGCCTGCTTCATTGCTGAACATTGGTCTGTAATTACGAACACTGGTTGCTTCACATGACACTTTAGAAAGGCCTCTAGAACCCATGTAAAGTTATCAATCGTCTCTCCACTTATAAGAGCGGATCCAACAACAACAGACGCCTTATGGTTGTCAACAGCCATGAAAGGAACAAAAATCATTGCATGCCTTGAATACAAATCAAAAAATATGAGTATCTATTCATAGACACGTCATATGTCCGTTAAAATATCAAAGCTGATCAACATAAATAACTGAATTGCAATTGGTGATGTTACTTGTTAGTGCGAAAGGTTCCGTCGAACGAAATGACATCACCTAATTCTTTGTAGTTAATTCTAGCAACTTCATCCGCCCAGAAAATTGCACTCAACTCCTGCTCGTTGCATTTGTATTAAAAAAAAAAACCGGGGACAACATCACGTCTGTTTGATAGTTTATTGATCAACATCGTCGCGTCCTTATTCACAACACAAGCAACAACATCCCTTTTGAAATTCTTGAAGTTAATTTCAGAGATGCGAGTATGCTCAAATCCACCGTTCAATGCGGTCTAAATACGGTGAGCCCTCCTCGCGCCGACTTTGTAGCTTGAGCTATTTAGTACAGTTTTGAAATATGTATACTTCATCTGTCTATTCTTCCGAGAGAAACGACGATCGTTATTATTGAACAATGCATCGTTGTGTGCCTCTACGAACTCATATATCTCGTAACAAGACCTATCCTTTGTCAAATGGATTTTTATACAAGCATTACAACCACAACGTTTGATGTTTGTATTACGATATCTCCTCTCACCCGACTGCATGTACAACGAATCAAAATCCTTCTTTTTTGGGTTTCCCTCCCTGCTGCATACAAACCACCTAGTTTGAATTTCGCCATTCTTGTTCGTCTTTTTAACATGCATGCGAACATCAAAGCCGGCGTTGTCCGCATAAGCCCTGTACATCCTTTCGACTTCATTTATAGTCGCATATTGCGCTTTCATATTTGGCTTAAGCGCGTCATCAACCTTCGGGATAAAAAACTTTATTCCTTTTGAACTCTCTCCTATGTCATAATCAACTTCTTGTTGTGAAGAAGTTATGCTATCAATATCTGATGGGAAAAAGTAGTTAGGCTGTGAGATTAAGGTTTGTATAACAATAATTGAATTTAACAGACCAACATGCAGATAGGTAAAGTGAAACTCCAAACAACTTGAAAAAAATATCTTATTTTATTTGTCGAACATACCTCAATATTACTACTGTCTATATATAAGTAATGTAATCTGATATGACCATTTATGTTACAGGTACAGCATGATGGATTTTTAAAATAGCCAGACCAATCCAAGGTTGTCATGACATGATGACATATATCATAAAGAAAATAGTTTGAGGTAATATTCAACTACCTTTTGTTTTGAATAATCTGTGAAAATGAGAAAAGTTATAGTATGACTAATGTATGTCGTGTTACCTTATGAAAGATTTCACACACGAATATGGGCTTCTAATGATAGCTTATGAAGTACATCTGTACAACTCATGTCCATATGTCGGGCATATGTTCGTGTGAACAGCACCTGTGTCTTGCAATGTAAACCATATATTTAATATGGTTTGATGTTTTTCAAAATCAAGGATCATTGTGACTGTGTGCAGATCTAAACAAAGACTGCCATCGCTCTATGTTCATGTTGGTGATGTTCACATGTTAGCATCGATACAAACATATAGCAGATATGAAGATAAGTTGTACATATGGGGCTATGTTTTTCAATTTAAAGTATATTTGTGCATGTATGCCGCTATGAACATATACTACATTTGCATTCTGTTCATATTGCTGATTTCGTTATGATCACACTGCATTTGAATGTGTAAACGACCACAGTCGCTGATCACATGAACACATGGAAACATGTAGGCAGCGAAAATGTCATGCTCCATATGACATCGTCCCCGTGTTCGTGTGAACAACGATTGTGTCTTGCAATGAAAACAAGTTGTTCATATGGTGCACATATATGAACATAGACTGCAAGCGATGAACAAATATGAACATGTTCATAGTCAATGATCGTTGTGAATGTGTGCAGATATGAACATAGACTGTAAGCGCAGTATGTTCATGCTGATGATTTATGTGTTCATACTTCCTTCGGATCTGTTCATATGTTGTATGTCTTATTATCTACTAACATTGTTTCATATTTTGTAATGTGTTTTTTGAACATATTTAGTACCAGATAATGCATCAGATTCTTGGACGATCTCAACTATATTGCAAGCATATTTGATATACCAGAAAGGTAATGGTTGTCCATTTAAACAATATACATGCAAGCATATTTAATATTGCAAACATTTTCACAACGTCAATAGATGCACATATATAAACATTTTAAAAATCAAGGATCGTTGGTTAATGTGTGCAGATATGAAAATAGACTGCAATCACAGAATGTTCATGCTGATGATTTATGTGTTCACACTTCCTTTTGGATCTATTCATATAATGTACGTCTTATTATCTCCTGACATTGTTTCATATTTTGTAATGTATTTTTTGAACATATGTAGTACCAGATAATGCATCAAATTCTTGGACGATCTCAACTATATTGCAAGCATATTTAATATACAACAAAGGTAATGGTTGTCCATTTAAACAATATACATGAAATACTAATCACTTACCAATCGGAACGCTTTGACCGTCTTCTTCATCATCGGTAATCGAATTTCGACCGTATTGATATCCAGAATTAAGTTTATCGTTTTCATTATTCTGAAATTCTTTTACAATAGGATTCTTCATGTATCTTGGACGAAACGAAAATCTTGTACACTTAGACAACCAAGTTCAATATATGTAGCAAACCACTTGACATGAATAACATGAACATGAAATAATAAAGAAATCAGAAAAATCTCATGAACAATTAGAGGTATCTTTTAAGATTTGTAACTCCCAATTAATTATTAGGGGGTTACAAAAAGGTTAAATTACCAAATTACCCTGATCTTTAATTTTTAATTTAGATTTGAGCCTAAAGTCAAGAAAGAATGTGATTGGTTAATGATGGTTAGTTTAGTTTGCACCATATGGTTGGTTTCTTTTTGAATCAACCTCTCTCTCTCTCTCTATCTATATATATATATATATAGACTTGGGATCACGTGAGACCAGCCTATTTTCGTGAGACCAGCTTTTTACACTTGAAACTTCATAGCAAAATGTTGTGAAGGTTCGACTTTTTTAAACCTTCACAGTGTGTTTGCTGTGAAGGTTCGACTTTTTTAAACATTCACAGTGTTTTTGCTGTGAAGTTTCGGATCTAGGAGCTTCACAAATTAGTGCATCAATCATTTCCAGGAATGATACTTGGTGCCCAAAAATTAGCTACAGATCCCTAACCTATCACCAATCTTTAGAGTTGTTGCATGGTAATAGTAATAGTCTTCTTAAGAAATGGAAAACAAAGATTGACATACACCATGACAATTCAAAGGTATCTAGTACTAGTAGTAAAAGTTGAGCAATTCGGGTTTCGGACGGGTTCGGGTTTTGGATCATGAGATGTGATAACTTGATCCTAGTTATCACCCGAGGTAAATTAATATGTGATTATCTGATTTAAATGATTACGTGATAGCATGACAAATTGTTACGTTTGATCATGCTGAGATGTGAAAATCTGCATAATATGAAATGCATATGTTATGTACTTATATGTATGCATGGTATATATATATATATATATATGTACAAGGTGTATGCATGCATGCATGTAAGTTTTGTGAGAAAAAGGGGCTGGGTTAGCCGCCTTTCCGGTTTTAGAAATGTATAAAAGGAGGGTTGAGCCTCCATATTTTCTCTTCTTGCTTTGAAGTTTCTTGTTGTGAGATTTAAAAGAGAAGAGAAAATTGACCGGATATCTTGTCTGGAGATTCAAGTTGATTTCAAGTGTTTGATTTCAAAAGCTTGTTAAGGTGAGTAATTTCTAAACTCTTTTGCATAAAATTATTACTGGTTTTATATGAATCTTGTTTATTTTTGGAAAGAAATCAGTCTTTTGCTCAAGTGTTTTATCCAGGTATTAAACCGGACAAGGCTTGTCCGGATTGCTTTAAATCGGACAAAGGTTAAACAATGTATTGTCCGGATTGCTTTAAATCGGACAAAGGTTAAAACGATATATTGTCCGGATTGTTTTAAACCGATCAAACGTTGAGCGGGTTATGATTGGTAAGAATAGTTATCTTTTTGAACTGAGAAGTAGGAATACGACCACTTGGTGGCCGAATTGTTTTAAATCGGTTAAGTTATGAGCGGCGGACTTATTATCCGGACAAAGATGTTGATTTTGATTCTAAGTGTTAAATCGATCAAGTTTTATGCGGTGTGTTGTCCGGACTTGTAATCTGGACAAAGGTTGAATTAATTCTAAGTGTTAACCGAACAAAGCTTATGCGATGTGTTATCTGGATTGTTGACCGGAGATGAAGTCCGGCTAAATCAGGTGACCGGATTTGAAGTAATGCCTTGTGTTTTTGATAAGAAATATTATTTTATCATAAAAAAGAAGTTTTGAAATAAATGATTTGGTATTGATAATAATTTCAATGACCGAGGTCTATTTGAAATTGTTTTGTGAAATATTTTTAATGAGGGAATAAAGGTGGCATATCAAGGAGAGGTGTACCATGGGATAAGGGTGCATTTGTATGTGTGATTGTATGATCTAACTCTTTCTATTATATCCTTTAAGATTACCGTGGTCTGGAATCTTTATTTCTTTGTGATTTAAAGATTTAGGATTAAGTTTCTTATTGGAAATCATAGTCTGGACGTTATTGAGGAGAAAACATCAGGTTTAGCCTGAATCTTTGTTTAAACCTTGTTTTGATTTAAAAAGGTTTAAAAGTAGCATTATGTGAAACCTGATTGGTTTTGAGGTATGGGATTGTATAGCTGAATGCTTTGCTTGAAAAGTGAAAAGGATGTAGTATTATGTCCCTATTCATTCATATATTTGTTATATATATGAATAATTGTTTTTCGTAAAAAATTTGGTGATTTTCACCCTGCAATGACATAAATAGGGTATCTCACTAGACCTTTCGGTCTAACCCTCGTTTTGTGATTTTAACTATGTGTTGCAGGAGGTACGGGCAGTAAGGGAAAGGGGAAGATTTAATATTTTCCTATATGCATGTCTACTTGAAGATCTGCCTTGATGTATAGTTTTGATTGATTAGTACAAGTGATGTATTAGAATTTTTGGACCTTGTATTTGGTCATATTAGATTCTTGTACTAAGGGACCTGAGTGGAATGATATCTTGTATTTCTTTTATATGAAATATGTATTACATGCAATGTATGGTTTGAGGGTGTTACATGAGATCCTATCGATCCTACTAACCCGATATAATTTTCGGATTTCGGACCTCGGGTTGGTTCGGTTCATAGATATCGGTTCGGTTCGGGGTTTTTTGGTCGGTTTTGTCGGGTAATTCGGGTTGGGTTGGGTTTTGCACAACCCTAGCTTAAGCTGATTTAATTGAGTAGCATATTTTTGTGGCATACTTGCATCCGATATAACACAATCTGTTAGTTTAACCACCGACTCCTGAGAAGATCGACATCCAACTTACTCCTATACTTGGTTTGAGTTTGGTTTATAAATTTTAACCTCGTTGTGCGTTTAACAATGCATGCAACAACTTAAGAGCTCATTGCCTACAAGGAGTATAGTCTTCAATGTGAAGGGAAAATCCCACAAAAATTTGATTTTGAAGGATGGTGTAATTTTGCGACAGTACACAAGTTGAGGACGTATTTCTATGTTACCCAGACGTACCACGGGTGCATTCAAGTGCATGTGTTAAACATATAAACACCCCCCCCCCCGTCCCTACCATGTCCATGAGGTGTTGTTTTCGGGTCTTACAAAAAAAAGCATGCCAACTTTGAAACTGGAAAAGCAAGTTTGGTCTCAAAAGATAAATTCTACCTCCTTCTGAAATGGAAGGTATGAGCAACACATGATCTCCAACAAAACGGGAGGGGTAATTTAAAAGAATAACCTTCTAACAGATCTTTTAAAAGATAAAGAGTATGAGGCATTCTTCTTAAGGCCATGCATTCAAAGAAATATCTCAATCAAGGTTATTCCCCTAAATAATGCATGACCTTCTAACAGTTGATGCATTATTTATTGATTGAAGGGCTTATTCAATAAGCCCTCTTTAGATTTTGCTTCTGGGATTAATCCACTGGACTGTGCCTTTAAGAAACTCTTAGTTGCCATTGATATGAAGCAACAAACACACACAAATGAAAGATAAAAGAAGTCTACAAGGATGTATTCTAGAAATTATCTATATTGAAATATAGATACACACATACAAATGTCGATAGCTAATACATATATATAGATTATGAACCGGTGCCTTTGAACCATTGTGATGGTTCAAATTTAACTACCAAATCAGTTAGGTAACTACCATACAAGACTATGATGTGTCACTTGACACATTTTATTTATTTCATATAGTATTAATTAGTAATATATACTAATAAAACGTAAATGACATTTAATTCCAACATTCTTGTGTTAGTACTAGGCATTCTTGTGTTAGACAGAGGTGTCCTTAAATCTTTTAAGAAGGTCAGGCCCCTAAGCCTTGGTCTTAGAATACAAGCCTCCCTCCCGTTGGCTAAAAACGAATGCTTTTTTCATTCGCTATGTTCTGACTGGATGCGTACTTGCATAATCAATCTCGACTGATATGATAGATGGAATGGTAGCTTGTGTTATCGATCTAGCCAAGAGCATATTGAAGAGAGCTCTAACAGGCCTTGGAGATTTAGAAAAATCTATGAGAAATTTATTCTCCTATATAACCCATAAGGGGGGAGGCAAAAAGAAAGATGTAAGGCAAAAAAGAATATATTATCTTGATAGATTGGATGGTTGAACATCATGTAACATTCGTGTTTCGAGTTTTGAAATAAGATTTTTGAATGTATATATATATATATATATATAATATTTTTTATATGTGATGGATGTGTAAGTAAGGGTGATGAAGGTAAGATGGCCGACTTTTGAAGGGCTGTTATACACTTGCTATATATAGCAAATGTATGTAAAAAGAAAAGGGATTTTTCTAGTTTTGGAGAATTTTCTGCATATTGAGAGAAAAGACTGAAGGAGAATCACAAACTTAAATCCAATCAGCAATATATAAGGTGAGTGTATTAAGCTTTGAGTATAAATTGTTTGCATACAATTCAGTAGTTATTGGAATTGGTTATTATGATTTATATTTCATTATTGTGCGGATATTCCTTAAATCGTCCAAGTATTGACCGGTTTATTCTTAAACCGCTCAAGTGTTGTCCGGACTCAACCCTAAACCGGTCAAGAGGTGACCAGATTAACCATAAATCGATCAAGAAGTGTGCGGATTAAAACTAAACCGCTCAAAGAAATATGTGATGACCGGATTGATATCCGGACAGTTTTATCCGGATTATAAATCGCACAAGGCGTGGTCGATTTACCTTCTTAATATCCTAAGTATTTGTCCGGATTTCATATCCGGACAAGGCTGACCGGACTTCAAATCCGGCTAATATATTGAAATATTTTTTAGATGAAATGGCGGTGTAACCGCGAGA